TTCCATGTTACATACTGAATAAATTAAAGTCATTCTAGAAGCGCTCCTCTCCACTATTAGACTTGATTCTTTCGATTATCCTTTGAAGTTGATTCACTTATGCCATATAAGTTCTAATGCAATCAAGCCTCGTCTTTCGATCTTAACAAAAGCATGACCCCTACCTAATAGAAGATTTAGATAGACACGTAGCAGCATCTAGTGGAGTCATCAACCAAAGTCATGAATTATTTTTTCTCATTTTTTCCAGCAAGCCTCTCATCACTTACATAAATCAAAATGTCTAAGCTCTTGCAGTGACTTGTTTTTCCCATCCTCAGCCTTGTCAGGCTTGCAAGATTGATTAGCTTGCACACAGGCTTGGAACTTAGAGTCTTTGGCTAGGGTTAAACTCAAGATTATATTCAGTTTGGCAAACCATGTCATACAACCAAAAATATTGTGACAAAATCACGAATCACTAGTACAGAAAATATTATTGGCGTGTGGCAAAAACACGTTGGTGGCCTGGCACCCACGCGCCACCAATATGATGACACTTATAAATGTTACTGGTGTCGTGTTCCACGCCACCAGTAACATAAAACACTAGTAGCATCCCATTTTAGGTCCACGCCACTAACATAATCTTCAGGCATAAAAAAATACTCCCGCGAAAATGTTTTCCACTTCCATGATATCATTTTTCTAGCCTAATGGTTACTTTTTTGCTTCCATGGTAACATTTCAAGACCTTTGGCTCAAAACACTGTGACGGCACAAAACTTATCCAAAAATGTTGTCATGACAGCAAAATGAGCACTTTGGTTCATTTTTGCTCCCATGACAACATTTTTGAGCTTAATAGTAAAATAACATACTCCTTCCATCCGGAAATACTTTTCGAAGACATGAATGTATATGGACGTATTCTAGTCCTAGATACATCCATTTTTGTCCATTTCTTCGACAGGTATTTCCGGACGGAGGGAGTATTATATAAAATGTTCAATAAAGTACTAATATAGCATGACTATGTAATAGCATATAACAAGTTCAACAAAGTACTAACAAACTATGGCTAGATAACATTCGTACTATCAAGAATCGGAGGTAGAATCAGGGTCATAGTCTAGAGACTCAAAACTAGAGGAGACAACTGCTTTGTAGTACACCGTGATCTCGTCACGACCATGGTCAAGGTAGAATGTGACCCTCTCCCCAGCTACCATCCCATAGTGATATGCAAGTGTTGTCCAACTGTGGCAACCTAGGTAAGTTCAACCTGGCTTGTTAGTGACGAGAATAGTGTAGTTCATGGCCTAGAACATTTGCATCAGGGTGACCTCAAATGTTATCTTCTAATCGATCCTAATGTTGACCTTCTCGAGAAAGTCACGCCTTGCACTGCAAGGGATTATCTGAGCAAAACTAAAAGAAAACAACAATTAAAACATGTTGATCCATGAAGAAAAGTAAAATAAACTCACTCACAACATGTTGATCTATGAACACCAAACTTAACCAATGTACGTACCCCTCCTACCCACCATGACAATAGGTAGTGTTGGTCATTTCTCATGAACCCCTGGGCCTATATAAACCAAGGAAAAATAGTGCACTATAAAAAATAGCATCGGCTTTAATATTAGCAATGCTATATCGCTCTATATCATGCTATTAGCAAGACTTTGTACACTGATTTAGTTAGCGAGCCAATTCTCAGCATGCTATAGCATTTTATGATGCGGCGGTATTGTGCGCTATTTTTTCCAGTGATATATAAACCTCCCATGGTGGCTTTAATGTTTTACACTCACTTGACTACAGTCAAAAGTTAAAGGACCCCAAGGGACCGAGAAGTCTTGGATTCTTTGGAGGGATGGGTAATTCCAAGTGGCCTCATCTTCAACCCGAGCCACAGTAGTAAAGA